ATTAATAATTTTAGTCGAACAGGAACGTTATTGTTGTCTCCATAAAATGCAATGTTGATATAAGCTTTCGAGACTTATTACATCAATAGGTGTAAAGATTGAATTTCCCAATTTCGTGCCGCTCATTTATGAAAATCATTACATGCTAAGTTCTTCAACGAAAGAATCATCTAGTTTGGATTCAAAATTACATGTTGAAGATGAAATATTCATAAATAAATAAATATCTCTCAACTTAATAACTTACACTGTAGAATTTTATTTATTCGTGATTGATATTTTCAATACTTCAACACGTGGGAATCACATTTTTGCTTTAATAAAATTTAAAATTACTTCATTTAAAGTTTATATTATTGTACATATATGTACACACATACACAACAAAGTAATTAGCAACCTTGGCTAGACTTCGGTACCGCTACGGCCCATTGTTCATATATCAACCCATACCTTAATCTGTTTTTCTCTTATCTGTTTGTGTTCTAAAATTGTCATTCTGGTGGCAGGTAGGGCTAATATAGTCATTGAAGGTGGTGGTGGCAATTTTCAGGATGAAATGACGATGGTTAGGGACGAATTCAAGATTGGATTAAAAAAAATTCAAGCATGGTTGATATGTAAAAAATAAAAATAAAAAATAAAAAAAATAATAACAAAAAAATAAAAAAATTACAAGTATAAAAAATTAAGGGCGCCGTTTGGTTTGTGTTTCAATTTTCAATTTTAAGTTTTGAGTTCATTTTTTATTTTCTGTTTTGAGGGTCGGTTTTAAGATTGCTAAAAAGCGTTTGATTTGTCATATTAAAAAAATTATTTCTCAAAATAGAAAACTAGAAAACATGTTTATTTGAAACTTTGATAAAGTATTTACTACATTTTATTCCATTAAATTTGATTATTCAATAAAAAAAAAAGAACAATTTTACGTTAATGTATTATCAAGTATTATATACATTTTAAAGTTAGTGAATTTTATAATTTTTTCACTAAAGAATTAAAATAATAAATAATAAATAATAAATTAATTTCAAATTATAGAAAATAAAAATAAAAACTAATGCATGGACTTAAAATATTTTTGTTTGTATTCATTTAAATATTTTTTGATATTTTTTTATGTAAATAATCATTAATAGCTAGAACTATTTTTATTTTTTTATAAATTTTATATTTCTAATTTTTTTTTGTAATTTTTATTTTTATTTTTTTAGAATTATATATATTTCTTAGAATTTTAGAATTTATTTTAAAATTTTATTTTTTGAATTTACTTTTTGAATTTTAATTTTTTATAATTTTTTTTGAATTTTATATTAAACACTTGTTTTTCTATATTATGAGTATTTTAAGAATTTTCACTGAAAACTCTCCAAACTTCAAAAATACATTTTGAGTTATCTACTATAATTTTATTCTTATTTTCGAAAATATATTTTTAAAAATAACAGATTAAACACGTTTTCAATATTTTGCAAAATTAAAAAGTGAAAGCAGATTGGAAATAGCAAACCAAGTGCATCCTAAATGGCTTGGAACCCGACCTGGCCCCCCTACATTTGCTCCCTGGTGATGGTGATGGTGATGATGGAATGAAAATTGGAGATTGTGGAGGGGGGTGGAGCTTTGATTGGAGATGATGGTCTTTTTCTAGTAATGATGATATGCGGATATGGTGATTGCAATGGTAGTGAAGGCGTTGAATTTGACTCGTGGTGTGTGGGTTTGAAAAAGTAGTGGTACTAGTAAAGATAGTTGCGATGACGATATGCATAATATGGTTTGTGACAAAGTGCTACACTTTGTAATGATGATGGCGACAATGTAACGCAATATATTACAAGGGTTACGTGCATCACAGGTAGTGGTGATGTCGATTGTTTGCGTAAGAATATGTTACATAGTGTAAATGTGCAAATACAATGTAACACATTGTAATAAAAATTTATATGAAAAGAAAAAGAAAATTTAAAAAATGTCTACAAAAAGAAAAACAGTATTTATTCATTTTTTTAAAATGATAGAAAGAAAGATTGGAAAGTACTGCGGAAAATAGTTTGTATTTTTAGGTATTTTATGAATTTTACCCATAAATTAATGTTACGTCCAAAGCTCCAAGGCAAAATGCCATTCTACTGGGGAAAACCCAACTCTCTATGGATCAATAACTTGTTAGTTGAGAAAATTAAGCTGAATACTTCTTTAAAATTGAGAGAGAGAGAGAGAGAGAGAGAGAGAGAGAGAGAGAGAGAGTTATGTCAAATACATGCTTTTAAATTGAATTATTTTTCAATGTTTTAAATAATTCCTAAATTACTGTTTTCATTTCTCAATTACATATTTAAGATTTTCATTCCAAACCTAGCTATTGATAATTGCCGCTAGATCTCCACCACTGATCTTCAAAGTTGCAGCCACGACCACCCTTGACTTCACCAACAGCTACGTTGTTTAGTATGTAGCCCCGTCTTCGGATATGTTAATGTCTCATGTGCATATTTTGAGCTTGTTTTTCACATTGTCTTTTTGTTTGTATTGTCCCTCGAGAAATGTGAATTGTGTAGGATTTAGATGGGGAAGGTCAGTACTTGGTGTTTTCTATCGAATCTAGGGGGCGGAGATATTGGTGCAAAGATGGAAAGTTCAGAATTTGGTGATTTATTTATTTTATTATTTTTTTCCTTGTGACGACGGTGGTAAGTGACAAGTTTGGTGACTTCATCTTTTTCTTCATGATGGGAATAACAGTTGGTCATGTTGGTTTTGTGGTTGTTTTTTACGGTGTCGATTGTGTGGCAGCAATGCCAAATTATAAATTGTAACAAGAAGAAACGAGATGTATAACAATCACATGGATGAAGCACACTTAATGTGGGAGAGAAATTCTCTGATGTAATTTCATTAATCAAAACATTCCAACCTAACTACAACTAGAGGTAGCTTTAAATAGCAAACCTTAGTTTAATGTAAAAAATTACGTTTTCCTAAAAAATAAATGGCATTAAATAATAAACAGAACTTAAAAATAATAATAATAATAATAATAATAAAATGTAGGCCAAACTGAGAGATTAAGTTTTCCCCTCTTTAAATACATAGTCAAAAAATGTGAAAAATGAAAGTTTACAAAAGAGTGCTACTATTGATGAACAACCTTAATTTGTGCTATTTGTGTTGATTTCCTTTTCCTCCTCTCTCTCTCTCTCTCTCTCTCTCTCTCTCTCTCTCTCATTTCTTTTTTGGTTGAAACCTGAGTAATTGAGTTGGTAATAGTTTGAGACTTAAAAATGGTTTATTATTATGGTAAAACTAGTTACTTTAAAAGCTATATTTGGACATCTTTTGATTTTTGAGAAAATAGTGACCAAAATCAAAATCAACAAATACCATTGAAACTAAATCGGTTAAACAGAGCAATCAATTGGTTTACATAAATCCAATCGAGTTTTTGAAACTCGAGTTGTCAACATTTCCTCTAGAAAGAATTGTGTAAGCGATCTATATTGAATACCCTTAATTCTTTGTTGCTCAGAATAAAGTAGGCCATTGCACGATCAACGGGAACCAATATAAGGGACTATAGCTTCAAGTCATACTTTTGTTTTTCACCCTTGTTCGTGCTTTCAATTTTAACGAGACTCTTATCATGGGCATCACAAAATGCTTGTAATACAGTATCTTAAATAAACCTCCTAACATGTTTGAATTATGAACATTGTAGTAAAGTCGATTTAGAATGTACTAATATCTTGCCTTTTTCTGATATTCATGCTGCTAACTTTAGAATTAGATTACAAATCAATATTTTTTTTTTCAATTTTTAAATGAATGGTCTATCGTCATTTTAAACATTAATCAAATGTTTGATACGTTTTAGAAATATTATGAGCTAATATTAAGGAGAAAAAAATAATTTTGTTGATTTTCTATCCAATCTTATTCGTCGAATCTTTCAAAACACTCTAAAATGGGATGTGCAACATCTGGTTCGATCCAAGTTCGAAGGCAGATTCAAAAATTATTGGGTAACTTGTGAATAAAACCAAGAGGCCAACTTTAATTATGAACCAAACTATTTGGTTTGGCTTGATTCAGTTTCGAACCATAATTAAAATTTTCTATGTTCTCATAATTCCAAAAATTATTTTCATCATCTAATATTTGAAATACTACAATAATCTAACAAATGATATGTTTCATCATACTATAATAAACATACTCCAAATTATTAAAAAAAAAAAAAAAATCAAATAGTTAAGTTGTCTAATAAAAAATCATTAGCGATGTAAATTGATAAAAAAAGAAAAAAAAGAAAAGACAGTAAGATGGATTTTCCTTTCCATCGAATTGATTCATTTGCTTCAAGCTATCAAACTAACAAAAAAAATAAGTATGAAATATAATTAAAAAAGTTAGGAGGTTCAATTCTTTGATTTTGGGTCTAGTTACAATAACTGAACCAAAATCATCAATTTGAAATATCAATTATTCTAATTAACCTAACAAGGAACAATTCGATTCGATTCAATTCTAGCAGGGAAAATTTTCCTTTCACATAATTACCCTTTAATTACTTTCACAACAAATGCTATTTTAAGTAAATTTTATTTTTAAATGTTATGACTTCTCACATTTTTAATTATTTTTCTCAATTTACAAGTTAAAAAAAGATAATCATTTGACAATAATATTCAAACGAAAGATTTAGATAGTGTTTGATAGGAATTTTAAGAATTGATCTACTAACATTTAAAGATAAAAAAATGGATCCTATTTATGAGAGAAAAATTTAAAAATGATTGTTATCATAGTAAAATAACGATAAAAAAATTAATTTTAATTGACGTAAAATATCCACCAAACAATTATTTTTTGTATATCTGATTCGAAGTAGGCACACACAGAACGCGCACATTACGCACGTGATACACGTGATTCTATTGGCAGAGTCTGGTGGGTAAAAAGTTTCCCAACTCGTAAGCTATAAAAAACTTTTTACATTTTCTTTCTCCCTTATCACTTCTCGATTACGTGAGTTTTTTTATATTCTTTTCTTTCATCGGGTAAGAATTCGTTTATTTATTTTTACCTTCTCATAAACATGGAATTTTCATTTGTGGGGCTACGTTGAACAAGAAGTTCCGGTTGTATTTAATTTTTGATTTTTTTCCCTTTATTTTCTTCACTTTTGTAGGTTCTAGAGTTTGAGCTTACTGGGTTCTTTTAACATGATGGGATGATGTTCATTTTCATTTTTTTTCTTTAATCTTGTATAAATTTATGCAGATATTTTTATCGGTATCTGAATATTTATTTAAAGTTCAATTTTTTTTTTTAAAAATTTCTTTTGTGTTTTCTGCATTAGATATTAGAGAGGAGAAGCTGTTGGTTGGAAATTAAAGAGCCTGAGTCGACTTTTATCAGGTTCGATTCTACATAGTTTTCTGATCTAAATTTCGAAGTTCATTTTTTTTTTCTCCTTTTGCTGTCCTTGAATTTATTGGTTGCAACTTGAAAGTTTTATAATCCTGCGATAATTCAAGTTGAAGAGTCGCTGTTGTAGTTTATTTTAATTATAATTTTTTTTTCCCATTTCAATTCCAATACAATACTTGATTTTTTTATTTTTCATTGTATTTCATCCTTTTGTTTGTTTAATTTGAAATTTCTTATTAGTAGAGTGGTGAATTTGAGGCATTTGCATCATTGTGTGCCTTGTTCTTTCTCAATTTGGACCGGGATTGGAAATTGATTCAATTATAGCAACTACTTAGTATCTGTTCAGATTTTTCATGGTTATGAGCCACCCCAAACATGCTAATGTATCGAATGAGACATGGAGGTTGATTGTGTGCATTTTCACTATCGAAATTACAGCGAAATCATCACTCCATTGAGCCCATAAGTAGAGTCTTCAATATCTCTTCGTGAGTATCAGTTTCATGTTGTCATGCCCATATCCGTGCTTCTTAGGTCTAGTTATGGAGTGGGATCTATATAGAGTAAAATGATAGTAGATAGAGAAGGAGCATACCCTTATTGATGATACGATCATTTCCTCTGGAGCTGAGAATTAATAAATGTGAACTTTTAAAATAGTTCTAAAAGATGCCCTTCTTACCCAAGATTATTTGTCTCTTAAAGAAATTGTTTATTTTGAAGGTCTGCTGGACATTCATGTTATGGTACTGCTCTTTTTTGTCTTTTGCGTGTTATTTAGATAGTGTGGGATGTGTAGGTGGGAAAATTTGAAACGTAAACTGGATATCTATCTTTCGAAGGGCTTAGGATACTTTACATGTACTTAAACACTTAAAGTAAATGACAAAATGGAATAAAGAGTTGAAAGGGAGAGGAATAAGTTATGGTTGTTTTTCTTCTATTTTTGTTTTTCTAATTCATAAATATACTAACTACTGATGGATATCAATATCAAAAACCGCTGGAAATAATGTAATTTATACAGAAAGAAGAGGTAACTCGACAAAATTTGTTATAAAATATTTTTTCTGAATAACATCAGACTAAAAATGTTCTGTGAACAAGTGGATTTTATATCCTCAAAATTGAGAGAAGAATTTTTTGTTTACCAAGTCAAATCTACTGAATCTAATGTTGGTTAAAAACGAATTCAGACTGATGTACTCATAGAGTTGGCATATAAAATGTCAACCTCTTTCATGTGTGCTTGCAATGAAGTTGCACATCACTACAGATTCAATGCATATATATAATTTCATATTTTGTTTCAAGAAACAACCATAATGCAATGGTACTTCTTTTAATACATATGTCATGTCCACTGCACATCATTACAGATTCAATGCATATATATAATTTCATATTTGCTATCAAGAAACAACCATAACGCAATGATACTTCTTTTAATACATATATCATGTACCTAGCATACACCTTGTCTGCGCACGGGCAATACAACACACTCCTTTATTTTAGGTACTGCCTTGGGGTCATCAACGTCATTATGGCCTGTTTGGTTTAGCTAAAAATCAGATTTTTAGTAGATTTTGAACTAGCTCTTCGATTTCATGAAGGGGCTTCGACCTGCGACAAAATATCCAAGATTTTCTTTCACTATTAACTTTCTTTGAGCCTGGTTAAGAAAGGAAAGCCGGTTCAATGATTCGGATTTCCTTTTGTAGTGCATAGCCTTCCGAAGCGTTTTCTTGGATAATCACGATTGAATCCCCATTTCCGGGTCAGGAGCGTAAGATCCAACTTATAGAAAGACCCCAGACCTGCTTATTGCCTTGGTGGAATCTATAAAAGTTGATGAATTGTGTGGTTGAAAAGTTGATAAAATTTATGGGTTTCATAAAATATGTGGTTAAAATTAATTGTTGACTTTAACTTAAATTTTTATTAGCTTTTTAAGGTAAACCAAATAGGGGGCTACACTTTATCTTGTTACCCTTATCCGTATATTATGAAGTTCCTTTTGATTGCATAACCTGATAACAGATTACACTTACTTTTCCCCTTGGTTTACAAGCCTCCTTGTGAACTCTGTTCTCTACTAATATCATTGCAAAATAATATAGATTTGGAAACTTTTATAGAAGACAAACTGAATTATTTTCTCAATGTTTATTCTAAAAAACCCTTATTGAGCCTGTTTTGTCGATGCTTATAAATTAAGAAATCAATAAATCTAGTGACGTGTCTACTGGTTATTTTTCTAGGCTGTTTCAGCCTTTGTAAAGATGTCCTGCTAGATAGTTCAAAATGCTGCTTACAACATGATAGCAGAGTGCATTAATGTTCACATTTTTATCATGTTGTGCTCATTGCTCCATCATCGTTTTCCATTTTCTTCCAATGGTTCTACCCTCTAAAGAATTTTTTTTTTTTTGGTCTACAATGGTCTTGATTCTTTCTGACTCTGTGATGCCAGAAGTTGATTTCATTAACCGTTGTACTTGGTTTGCATACTGCCTAGAAGCAAATTGTGCTTGCACGTGATAATGTGTACAACTTTTTTATGAGGTCGCGTTTACTTATTATTTGCAGGTGACATAGTTTTAGTTGATGAACTAAAAGGGGAATATATAGGTAGTTAGAACTTTGGATGATCACTTTGTGGGGACTACAAATTTTAGATTGTGTAATTATGGTAAACTACATGAATCTCATGCAGTCATAGTAGAATTAAGGATAGTAGTAGCCACTGTAGAGGATCATGCTGTTACAAATTTAAATGAGCAACTAGAGGAAGATGGAGATGTGCTATAAGGATTCTATGTTTATGGAATATAAAAGGCAACTTCCAAAGAATGGTGGGATTATATCAACCGAATGGAATGACTAGAACATGCGTAGGGATGAGGATGAGGATGAGGATGAGGATGTTAGATGTATTGCTATCTTAAAATAAGAAATAAGAAAATGCCCCCAACAAGGATGTAGCACCAATTCACTAAAAATTAAGAGAATGACAACTTAGTTTGCAAGTGCATGTTTTGCATGCCTGAAGAAGCCCCATTTGCCAAAAAAAAAAAAAAAAAGTGATTACATCTAGTTAAGTAGATTAGAAAATGGAGAGGTAGATCAAAATTGATATATCATGATGTCGTTTCAAATTATGTGATTTTATAGGATCCTTAGTTAGATGTAGCGAAGGATCAAATTGAGGATGGAATACTGTTCATATTCTCAACCCAAACCTTGGTGGTGGGAATAAGGCTTAGTTTGTTGTTTAGCTATTCTACATGTTGATATGTCTTTCTTAAACAGATCCTGTTATGTGTGATTACTTTATTTGGCTGCTCATGGGAAAAAAAAGATCGTACGATCAACAGAGAGAAGCATGTGACTGCAATATACTGTTAAGTTGATTATGCATCAAATATGAACCTTGATGCTTGTTTTGTCCATCATCTTCTGTGTGGCTTAATACAAGCCTATTCATTTGTCTCTGTTACAATCTGCATTGAACTTCTGTTGAACATGTATGTACTGAATAAATATAAGAATGAAGATGTGACTTTTCAGGTTTTAGCTGCCTCTGTTGACGATTTTCACAGACTCAAATTTCATCAAGTTTACGCGATGAACCATCCTTACGGTGAAGATCAAGTAAGCTGCAAAATTTTGACAGTCAGTTTTATAATTCTAACGCAACTGCTCCTAAGCATGTAGTTTGTTCACAGGATCAAGTGAAACTTGTAGGATTTGAGATTCCAAAGTCACCTGATTCAGGTTACAATAACGTGTTTCCGAAGAATGAAGATGAAGACCGAGAACCACCCCTAGTACCCCCACACCTTCAGCATTCGTTGCTAAATTATCCAACAAATGGAGATTCACGTTCATCCCTCCAAGCGACACAGAATGTCACTCTAAATCATCTTTATGTCGAGAAAAGAGAACCACCCCGATCCGTAGTGGCGCTCGGGGCCACTCATCGCTTTCGTTCCAAACTAGTTACTGTCGTGCTTTATAAACCAATTCATAGGAGGTGAAACAGCAGCGTTTTATGTGCACAGAACCTTATCAGAATGTAGGTTTGTCGATGTAATGACTGGAATATAGTAGTGGTAAATACACAAGAGGAGAGCAAAATATATTTGTTTATTTTTTCTAGTGATACTATCTTAAAATTATTAAGATTAGGTCTAAAATTTATTAAAACTTGTGTTGCATTTGAGTTTCTGCAGAATTTTTTGAAATTTCAGTTATTATTTTCCAAATTTTTCTATTATAGAGGCTTGAAATATCACATCCCTTGGGATACCAACAAATAAATTGTGGGTAATGTGGTGCACTCAATCGTTTTTGTCCAAGGATTTTATTGATATTTGTATAAGAATTACGAAAAGCTAAGCAATGTTATCAATATCAGACCAGACGAGCTAATTCAATCGAAAAATTTGAGAATCGATTTGGAAATAGCTATGGTCATATGCCCAATTTAAAAATGTATTAAGCCATTTGTACAGAAAATTTTCCACAGAATTTGGTCAGATTACTCCCATGCGTGGGACCCATCGTGAATAAAAAATTGTCAAAAAACCCCCCCACGCCCAATGTTTGTGTTCTGGCAGGCTTCTGTATACATAATAGTGTTGTTTAAAAATTAGAACATGTTAATAACACTAGCAATTCTGCGCGCTCAGGCTCAAAATCGGTCGGTTCTTTAGCAAAACTAGCAAATTAATATTGATTTTTTATATTTATTTTTATTTTTTTTATAAATATGAAACTGATTTTGATTAAAAGTTCAATTTTAGACTCTTCCTTTTCGGACCAATGCTAGAACCGGGAAAACATCAGCTAGAAAAGTTCAAAGAGAGTAAGAAGAGAGACAAGCTGCAGAATCAGAATTAGGAATATAAAGTCAACAAGCTTGCTATATGTACATTAACGTACGTTTAAATTAATTCTAAAGTCAATGATACTTTTGTCAATATATGCTGTTATTGGTGCAAGTTTTACTTTCTTGGGCTTTGGCTCTAATATTATTTTGTTGTATTAGCTTGACACTTCTAATTGCTTCTAGCGTATTGTATCCTGAGAGTTGAAACAACTTTTTTTTTTTTTTTTTCCATGTTTAATGCGACTAATCTGCATATTTATTTATACTATCATCGAATAGCGTGACATTTTTATTGGTTTTTATGTTAATTCTTTTAATATTTTACTGAATTAACGAATCCAAATTCTCAATATTATGTTGAATTTATAGGTTTTTTTTTAGTATTTATTCCACATTATTGATCGAAAAAACAATAGAAACTAGAACATTTTTCATAAATTCAACAGTTGTTCATTAATCCGCAGTTCCGCTAATTTAAATGTTAAATTCATTAAACAGCATATTTATTTATCTAAATTTTAGATTCTAGCACAGCATTCACGTTTACGTAAAATACATTTTCATCGATGATCTGACTTGTCTACAATTATCATAAATATGTCGACAAAAACTTAAACTTTGCACATCTTCACATCTATCCAATCCTTACCATAAACCAACTCATTTGGTGAATAAAGTCTCCACATACCAATTCACTCAAAAAAAAAGTGATGTAGATTGAATCTACAAACACACGATAATGATAACTCAAAATGGATTGAGCTAAAGAAAACCAACGTTTTTTCTTATTTAATGAACAGTCAAAAATCTAGGAGATGTTTTTAGATTCTTAAATACAAAAGAACAAATAACCTACTGGGCAGCAATCCCTTAATGGGCTGGGCTACAAAAGTGAAAATAACAAATATTGAAAAAAATAAACTAAGAAGTTTTAAATGCTGTTTTGACCCAGTAAACGAATTCAAACGGCTAAAATCCATCATACATTATGGCGAAGCAGTGAGTTCACTCAGAATCGTCCCGAGCTTTCCAAAACGGACCTTATCAAGAAGACAAAAAAGTGAAAAACTCTCACAGCTTTTGAAAGGTTAAGATGACCTATATGATATAATTTTGTCTCCATATCAAGCAGAAAGTCAAGTAATAAGCTGTTAATTAGGAAATATGTGGCCATCTCGCCTTACCAGGAGACAGCAATTCATTAAAATTAATCTACTTGATGCATATTTTATCCAAGCTTCAATTGACTTATAAGTAGCCACCCAGATATTGATTTCCTTCTCCGGACTTTCATTATCAATCTTTATACAATATTTTAAATTTATAGCGTGTTCTGGCCGTGCTTATAACTATCTTAAAAGTGTTATTTTGTTACAAGTACGTTTCTACATCTTTCAAGAAATAATTTTTAAGTACAATCAAACATGTCCATATAAAAGCTGAGAATCTTTTAATCCACTTCAAAAGTTTAAGTTGTTAAAAATATCTTTTTTATATATTTTTTATCGTTAAAAATTTAAAAGGACTTGCTTGTTTAATTTTCATATACAAATGAACAGTGCATAATTTAATGAAATCGCTAGTATTTATTTCATTATAAAGAGTTGCAGAACGTGTAATTTTCGTAAATGAGTAGTAGTAATATCTTCTGAAACTTATTTAAAATGTATTAACTGCAGAAATGCAAAATTACCAATATATTGTAAGCACTGTGCAAAATTACATTTGATTGAAGATGAAGTATATTAATTAGCACTTAACAGCTAGCCCTTAGTTAAAAGATTAAATTAGAATGTGAATGCAAGTCGCATGTCACACGCTTAGTTGAATATTATTATTATTTTGATGGAACTGTTTCGGATGAGGAGTTAACAAATTGAAATTAAGTTATTAAAATAAACAAAATTGTATCTTCTATGAGAGTTTCCTGAATTTTAGTGCAACATGCGCATGTTTGGGAAACATTATAATTTCATTATGAAATTAAAATCAAAATTAAACATTGATTTTAGTCAAACATTCATACTTACTAATCACATCTTAATTATACATTTTGTGGGACACATTACTCCTCTTCATTATAATCACATTATAATTAATAGGACTGTTAGGTTATGCTATGAAAATGAAGAGTCCGAAAAGATATTTGCAACTTATTGTAGATGGTGACACGTGACATCTATTGGAATGTAGGATTAAGGGCTTCTATTGGCTTCTTATTTACACTTCTTATTGCTAGAAGTAAAAAAAGGTTGAATCCCAACCTTGAGGGCTTCCACCGTCCCCCCCTGAAGCATCGTGAAGGAGATAAATTGAGGGATATGCCTCAACAGGTCATGGAACAAAAGCTTTCTGGTATACTGGTGTCCACGAAGAGTCCAATTCCACATCTCAGGAATCGAACTCTCACAAGGTCGAAACTATCTCACTCCTGTCTTTTACAATCCACTGGGTTATGCCCCGGGGGGGGGGGGCTTCTTATTGCTAGAAGTAGAATAGGTTTGTGGTTGATGTTGATGAACACTAACCCTTTTTGCAACTACGGATTAACTATGTTTTTTGAATAATGGTATTTGCAGTTGATAATTACCGTAGTTGCCATATGTGGTATACTATGTGGCATCTTGTGTTGGGAAATTTTCAACACCAAAGGAATGGAGAAGAGACAAGATAGAAATAATATCAAGAAGATGAAAAACAAATTCGAAGGCTCGAACACGGTATCATTGTCCTCAAATGATATTTGCTTCCTCTCGAATACAATTTTGGTGCTTAAAGGGTCTCATGGCAAATGATTTGAAAGATTAATCAAGTATTGTAAAGAATCAAACACTTAAGCACACGTGTGATTCTTCGAAACTTCAAGAACACAAAGGGGTAATCAATGAATATGGAAGAAAAAGATTTTTGATCCTTTTGTGAAATGAAGTACAGTTTCTCATATGTTTTCAATATGATTTCAATGTCCATCAAACACATATTTATAGCCATGGATCATAGCTACACAAAATGGTGCCAAAAAGAAGTGAAACGCCACCAAAATTTCAACCAAAACTGTTCAAACGACTAGTTGGTTCCTTTATGCGACCACATAGATTATCCACAAGCAGGGCTTAAGAGCCCTGCATACCACCATGCGATTGCATCTTTAAGAGGTCATGCGGTCACATGGATTCCAATTTTGGCCTCCATTTTTCTCTTTCATTCCACGCTCATTTTTATTGATTTTTGAACAACATTTTTCATCATGTTGTTATTTGAGGCATTATTTTCTGTAATTTTATTGTCTCAAATTACAAATTAATATTTTAAATAACAAAATATTATGCAGGGCAACTACAGTAGAACGTTATTGAATATGAATAGCATTAATCATGTTTTTTGGAGGGTTTTATGGCGTGTTTGGGCTATAACTTTGTAAACATTTCACCACTGTTCTATAATTGATGTTTAGTTGGGGATTAGGCTTTGGATGAACTTATAGACGAAACATCTTGATCTTCATTTTCATTTTTGTACTATATTTGATGTGTAGTATGTTTGATTAGAGAATCGGGGACCTGATAAGTATGGCTGAGAACGAATTTTTATAGTTAAAATACTATTTTAGAATCGGTAATTTCAGTTGGAAGTATGGAGACGTCTGAGGCTATCCTGAATTGCCCCTACAGTCAAACAAAGTCTAACTTCAATACATAGGTCCATAAAGACGATATAGACTCGGACCAAGAACTCTGTCGATTTAGGGTGGCCCGAATACAACTAACATAAAACTATTCTCGACACAAATTGGTACACTGGAAGTGTGTCCTTCCCAATACTCTTGTACAAGATAAAATGTCACAATGTATGAACCAACTAGTGTACATCTTTAACTAAAGGAAGCACAACCACAGTTTGAGAAATACGGTCCTTAAGAATCATCATTAATTTTATTAGGCTTCGATAGTTGGCGAGAAAACTACAATAGCAAGTGGCTAGCAATCAGGTAGGAAACCGCATATATGTGCAATTTGGGAATTGAAAGTTTTACTATAAAAGCTGTTAATCCAACAGTTCAAAAAGGGCCCCAGTCTGCACTTTGGGCTCGTATTGATAATCTTATTCCTTTATCGAGGGACCTCTTTCATGCAGGTGATGCTTTCAGATACATGCACAAAGGTATTGATGAGAGATCAGACTTGCTAGAAAATGGGTTATGTGTAGACATTGATGAACTCAGTTCGTAGAATTCCTGCAAGTGTACGATTTCGTTATCTATGTAATAATCG